AACTATAATAAACTAATAATAGATACTCTTTTTTTTTGGCACGTCGCGTTGGTTATATTTATAGGCGTGTGGAGAGTTTCTAGAAAATTCAGATTACATTACAATACAAAGCTACATTAAGTTTTTACGTACATACATATATTGTTGATTCTTACACTAGACTCTTTTACAACTTTAGAGAATAGTTGGGAGTTTCGCAATACATATCTAAATTGTATAAGTTATGTACACTTGTAAATATAAATTTAATTCAAGTAAACATCGATATTAAAATAAATATATAATAATAAATTGTCACATATGCTAGTTGAAATTCCTGTCAAATATTGAGAAATAGATTATTGTGAATACACATTTAGCGTTTTGTATTACTATGTAATGTGAAAACTATGTTAACTGACTTATAAATTTCAGTGACATACAAAAACTTTAGTTAAAGTATGGTGAACATTACGTTTATGTATAAAATATATGATTATGTAGAGTTTGAACCGTTTATTTCAATATACAATATAATGTAAATACATAGTGACAATGTGTTATAATTGACTATAAATAATCAATAAAGGTTTTCCGCCTTTTCTTTCTATCCATTGATGACATGTTGAGACAATGAGGTCATCATCCTCCGTTTATAGAAACACTGTCTGTATGGGTGTGATGACGTGAGGATATTTGTATTTCCTAACAGTCAAAGTTTAGCTATTTTGACATCAATGTCCACACAGAATATGTTATAATGATTGTTTCGTTGACATTTCAAAACAGCAGGTGTCCTATGGAACATTGACTAAAAGAAGCTATGAACACTTCAGAAATTTATTCGATACTTTCACAAGACTTGTGTACTCGAAAAAACTTTGGAGGTGTGTTTGCCTGTGGTTAACTACCTGACCATGCACAAAAACAATTGTACATGATGAATCTGATTCCGAGTCATAAATCTGGTGGCCACTGGGTTTGTATTTACAAAGGTTAAGATGAGAAAGGAGAATATTTTGATCCATTAAGACTGTCTTCACATAATCTCAACATAAGAAAATCATCAAGAAGAACTGTAGAACATAAACGTACTGCAAGAAACGTATTCATCAAATAACAGATAACCATAGATTTGTTAAAATCATATGGACAGTAAGATTGTCGTTAAAACAATGGTTTTAATATAAATAAATATAAACAGTGATGACGTAATCGTATGTAGAAGTACAGTATCCACCCTTATAAAATTCGAGTAAAATAAAACTTATAAAGTACCATGTGTAAAATGAAATATTTTGTCAAGTTATATTGATATCATAAAGACAAACTAGTCAAAGTGGAAGTTTTAATTATTGCATGATACATAATAAACGCTTTTTTCCTGAATGAATTAATGTTAAGCATTCTTTTTCAGGATGATTTACATATAAATGGTCAGGAAATGTAAAAGTATGTCTAAGCTGACTGTTCTAAAGTATGCTTGTTTTGCTTTTATAAACTAAGTTTGTGTGTATCCGTCTGTGTATGTGTGTGTGGAGAGTATTGTATATATATTATGCTTATTATGTGTCGAAATGAAAACTTTTATCTAAATTTAGATCCCACAAAGAGAGTAATGATATGATTTTTCATGATTTTGTTGCAAAACGTTTTTATGTAAATACGTCTTTAATAGATGTGTCTTTTTGTGTAGATCAGATTGCAAAATCTTTATTTTCAAAAAATTAATAAATTGTTAAAAATAAATATTGTGTCCATATATTTTTATAATCATGTTACCGAAAATATTTGAAATAATTACTTGATTTATAATTAAAGAGTCAAACAGTAAGTTCTGTTTATTGGATGATATTTAAATAAACGTCCTTTTAGGGATGATTTAAATATAAATGGTCAGAAAATGTATAGAACTAACGAATTAGTGTTTTATACTGACTGCATTAATTATAGTCATGTTCAGACTTGTTGGTCAAATTTGTGCTGGTTCCACTTCGTGGAACTATGACGTCATGACCACCTGTCATGGTGGACTAGTAAAGTGGACTAGCAATGCACCCCTAGTTCCACTTTGTGAAATTTTTACTTTACCTTCTCTAGAATTTATGGCCTCCTGTTCTGACTGCCTAGCAACACGTTCTCTGTTTCCACTTCGTGGAACTATTACGTAATCGTCCGTCATGGCGGCCTATTAAAGCGCCCTTTGGTGACATTTTGTGGAACTATGATGTCATCGTCTATGGTGGCATCATTGTCCCTCTTCGCCTAAGTTCTACATGCGTGTACCACACTCTAACGGCGCGACTGTCAAGTGCAGCCCTAACTACTTAGAGAGTAAAGCCACATAACCAAGAAAGTAAAAAGGCTTTAACCGCACAGTGAACAGGATAGAAGAGCATTAACCACGCACATAGTACAATAGTATCAGTATCATAGAGTATAAAAGCTTCAAGCACACAGTCAGCAGAGTACGAGATCATCAATCACATACACAGAGTAAAGGACTTCAACCACACAATCAACAGAATACAACTGCATCAATCACACACAGAGTACAAGAGTATTAATCACATAGGGCAGCGTTTCCCCAATTTTTGTCATTTAATAAATATGGTTTCTTGCGAGCCCCGATTTTTTAAATGTGTGAAAGAATTAGTTAAGCAACGAATTGTAATACACGGATACACATTAAAATGCTGTATTTTTTGTAATAATTACATATCATTTTCATTAATATAAATATATTAAAACGCTTAATTTTGCATTATTGCACTCTTGACTCTACCCTAATCTTTCGCTTTGGGTATGAGGGCTACGACAACACAATCAGCAGAGTACAAGGGTTTCAACCGTACAACCAAGAAAGAAAAAGGGCTTCAACCATACAAAAGGAAATAATATATTTGTACATTCTAATAAGAACAATAACTTCAGCTACACACTCTTAATGTGAAGTGTAATGTTTTTATACAACCATTTTTTTAGCCAACTAATGTAGTTTTATATGATTTAAGAGGTTCTTCTTAGTATAACTGAAGTTATTGCCTTATGCAATACTATCTACATTTTGGGAATGTACGATTTATTTTATTTTTCTCCAGAACCTAACCTTGAAGAAAAAGCTCTTTCTCCTCCTCGTCAGTCTTTTTGTAAAGAAGGCCAATTACCACGCAGCCTACGTATTATTTCTTCCTGTTATCCTCATGCTAGGCCTGGAACAAACTGTAGCGTTAAATGCCACGATCACATGTACCTTCAAGGAGATAACACAGTTCAGTGTCTGTCGTCAACAGAGTGGTCTAGCTACCCCTTCTGCGGTGAGTTAAAACTCGCTTTATATAAAATAGAAAGGCTCTTGGCTCATATCTTTTGAAAAACGTTTCTTTATAATTTGTAGTTCAAGTTGAAAGGCTTAAAGGGTGGGGTAACTTAAGGATTTCAGGTTCACAGGCTGTTTTATCATTTTACTCCAGTATTTACTGAGTTCTCGGCGAATCTAAAATATCGTGTAAGTTGTGTTGGTTTTTAGATTCGATTAATAGTTTTCTACAGTCCATACCAGGGTCCAATGAATCTGACATGTCTAAACTACCCTGGTTTATATTTGTGGATCTTATTACTTTCTAGTCGAACAACTACCTGCTCTGATGAATACGGTACATTGTGTAGAAGAAGAACTTCCTCCCGAATTAATCCTTGAAAAATCCTGCACAAAAGAAGTAACTAAAACCTGTAATGTCACGTGCCCTGAAGATAAAGTTTTGATTGGAGATTCCACAATAATGTGTTTATCAACAGGCCGCTGGTCATCCATTCCATTCTGTGGTGAGTTCCATGCAATCGTATGATATATTTATTTGCTGGTTTAGAACATACTTAGAAGTAAAGAATTATCTCGCGCTGATGCTTTCATAATAATTATATACTTTGTGTTCACAAAGTTATTAAGCAAAAAACCCAGAGTACACAAGTTTTGTGGTTTGTATTTTATGAGTAATTTCTAGGTATACTAAAGTTTGTATTTATTATTTTTAAGGTTGTTTTAGTGCAAATCTATACAATAGGCAAGCTGAACGGAGTATCGAACACCGGATTTTACCGTTGTACGTCCGTAAACTTACCACTGACTTGCTAGGGTAAATTAAGAAAGCTTTGAGTCAAAATCGCAAATATATTTCCTGTTATACAAAATTACAGATGTATCTGTTCTCGTTGGCTAGTTAGTCTGCTCTAAGCCTTAAAAAACGGAGACACAAGAGCGTTGAGTGTTATAATTTTAAAGCCAGAACTTAAAATTTATTTTTCTTTCCATCTAAAACATTGCCACAAGAATGTGCTAGAAGAAAGGAACAATTAAAATTAACAACTAGGACACTATTTGTGAAATCAATGAATTCATAGATGGGATGGATAACGACAGTCAAAGTAGGATATATATATATATAAACAAACTAAACTAACCAAACGGTCTGAAAACACAAACACAAAGATCCATTGATAAATTGTGTTATATCACATCATGCTTAAACTAGTATAATGTTCATTAGTCTTACTGTATTTGTGTCTAATAGATTAAACTGTCAATCAGTAGATAGTGATTCGCCTGCCTCGGCTTTTATACATTACAACTTTGGAACTAAGTGTTTCGGTCTGACGTTCTGTTGATTGATATTAATTTTGGTATGTCGATTAGCTAAAAGGTTCTCAAAGCATTTTCTTTTCTTAGACAACAGGTGCGACGAAGACGCTCGGTACTTTTCAGGGAAGTGCTACAAACTGATGTGGAAAACCCGTGGAATAATGGCCCACTGGAAGTGTCAGACTTTAAACATGGAGCCACTACTCATTGAAGATCAGTTAGTTTTTAATTTCATAGTTGATTATCTCAACGATATGAACGAAGAATGTCTGTGGACGAGCATTAATGACATAGGTGAAGAACAAACATGGAAAGATGGGATGGGGAAACCTGTCAATTTCTTTAACTGGTATCCTGGAGAACCTGACACGGGCTATTATGGCAAAAACAGAGACTGTGTGGCGATGCCAAAATGGAGAAATTACCAATACAGTGATTACCCTTGCGATAAATCATCATGTAGATTTATTTGTCAGTACCACGCTAGGTCATAAAACCCATTTCAGACTGTAAAATTCTCTTTCATTGATTAACTTTGGATGATGGTATAGACAAAATTATTATAAGGATGTTTTAATAAAAATTCGATGAACAGAAACTGGCTTTGTTGCTTTTTACTCTTAAACAAACTAGTTCTACGGTAGGTACGATCACAAACCCTGTATGTATCATATATATTTAAAAGGTGTAAGACATCATCAACAGATGCTATTTTCAATGATCATTTAAAAGTTTATGAGAGGTCATGCCCTCGAACCCCCAATATGGCTTCCCCATTCATTTCCTTTTTCTTCAAAAGTAGCATCTCTCCTTTCTAGCTTTCAGCCTACACCATTTTGGTCAATATTTTAAAAGTGACGATGTAAATCAAACCTTTTCTAAATATAATGAACACGGTACACTTTCCACTAAACAACAAATACAATTACGGAATTTATATTTAATACAAGTTTGACGAAATGTGAAAAGTACAATATGTTTATATATATATACTTGCCAAACATTTCCGGTGAAATTACTGTCTTTATTGCAACAGTACTTCTTTAAATACGGGATTTCTAGAATAATATAAAATCATTCTAATCGCAGACACTTAAATCTGTAAGTCCACTTGTCTTAGGCCTAACATTAGTTAAGCCTTTATTAATTACGGCCTATATTGGATAAAAAGATAATTTACGTTGTAACTTGTGTACGTTTTTTGCTTCTATTTAGTTAGGGCTAAACTTTACCATACTTAATTAATATTAACAATAACTAAACTTATAATGTTATTCTACGACCGAACGTTAGATCTTTTTAAAAACTTCGATGAACTTTTATTATATTGTACAAAATGTCTACTAAAGTATATTTACACCCGCCTTTTATTTACATACGTTGAAATGAAGTGCGCGCGCATGCGCATTTAGATAAGTGCATACACATTTTCAGGAAAGACAAAACTGAGCATTATTGTAATAAATATTTGTAAATGTGCTTTAGATAAACTGTCTTTGACATTAATATTGTGCTTGTGATACTGTCTTTCATGTTATATTTATGCTTGTATTACATATTAACTTTGTATTTCCTATAAACGTTTTTCATTTTAACTTTGTTGTTTGTGTTTTAACGATGAAAAATATCAGCAGTTTCTCATGGCAGGCAAAAGGTATGTATTTGAAATGCAACTTTTATCACACACATCTATCCTACACTTCTTGTAGACTTGTTACGACTGTGAGAATAACACCTGTACTTTAACGTGACTTTTCATCGTTAGTACAGTCCACTCAGATCGAAAAGTGAAATCAGTCAAGTTTGATAAAAATCAGCTGTGTTTCTGCTGTCATATAAAGAACCTCAGCTCGTATATAGTACACTTTAGGTGTTTAAATAAAAAGCTAACAAAGTAATTGACTTTATTCGCAGTTTTGGTTTCTGTGTTTAATGAACATACTGATTATCGATTGAAAACAGTTTTCTTCGTTTTAAATCATAAGCATAACTTTCTTTATACCCAATATATGTTACATCCCCTGCATTTATCCACGTATTTTACTTTCCAAGCAGTTTGACATACTTAGAAAAATTGTTTATCAAGAGAAAGCATAATAATTTAATTTAAACATTCACAATAAGTAATCTTCCCTGTTGTTGTATACTCAGAAGTGTAAAAGAACTTGTCAAATTTAGAGCACAAAAGTATGTTGTCACCAAGCCATTCTTTACATGAAGGTCAGGTTGCACGATGCCCTAAAAGCACCCAATTTCTATAATTCTGAAAGCTGACATGGTAAGAAATGGAATCTTAAGGATTTGTAAAGTTTATATGGTAACTGTCAGCTTTGCATCATGTTAAATGTTTTAATCCTGAGTGTAAACAGTTTTTACACTTAACACTTGTTTGTATTCATAAGTTTTAATGGTGTATTTTATGATTAACAAATATGCTGATACGTATACCTGTTTCTAAATACAGGGTGGGCCAAAACCATCTTCCCTATTTTAAAATTTAATAATTTAAATAACTAAAGAAATACAACCATGCAGTTTTCAACATCTTGTCGTCCAACTCAAACAGTTTTTATTAACACTTTGACTGGACACCTGGTCGTGGTTTTCTATTTTGTGTTGCACAAGATCTGTCTTGCTTGGTTTATCTGTGAAGACATTTGTGTAACGGCATAGTAGATATTGTAGCTCTTTCTTCTGCTTGCCAGTCAGTTCTTCATTGATGTTAGCATCTTTGTATTTCTCATCAGCACCCAACGTTTTTAGGTCTAGTAGGTCTTCATCTTATATGTCAAACTCACTGTCTCCTGGTCTATGACAACCATACCTACAATTTCCATCTGTTCCTCAATAGCTGCACTCGTTAGGTCTTATTTCCTCATGAAGTACCTCTTCAACAGATTGGCGTGGTAGATCTTGGTCTTCCTGTCCACTTTTATCTTATATTTCATTCTGCTGAACACTTCTTGCACTTCAAAAGATCATTTCCACTGCATGGCGAGTTTGTTGTTGTCTGCGGGTAGTAGAACTGAGACCTTCTGTCTGACTTTGAAATGTTAATCCTTGGCCTTTTTGTCATAGAAGTGCTTCTGACTGCCTTGAGCTGCATACGTACTGTTTCGAGCAAGTTGACAGGTCTCCTTCAGGTTTCTGAGGTATAACACATATTGGTATGTGTTTCTCACTTCCGACTCTTCTTCTCCTGTCCACAGTTCTTTCAATATCTGCATCAGATCTCGTACTGTTCTTCTGTACAGTAACTCTTGTACTTGATTGTGGAACTTCTCGGTAAGCAAATAATACTGCCCGTAGGTACCTGTCCCATTCACGTTGTCTTTCTTGGCACATCTTTTTCAGCATGCTCTCTAAGACTGTTGACTTTTTCACAAAGTTCATTACATCTGGTGTTGTATGAGGTGGTAAAGTGCTGCCTAATGCTGATGATTCTGCACATCTCTTACGTCAATTCTGAGGTAAACTGGGTCCCTCTCTTATTCAAGACTTCTACTGGATAGCCTACTCTGCAGAACATTTCCAGGAAAGCTTCTGCTACTCTCTATATCTCTATCTTTGGCAGTGCTATGACTTCTGGATAACATGTTGCATAGTTGACTACTGTCAGCACATACTGGTTACTCTTGTCATATACAGATGCTAGTGGTCTGATCAAGTCCACAGCTACTCTGCTGAATGACTCTTTTATGAGAGGCATCTCACTCAGTGGCACCATGGCTACCTTCCCTGTAGGTACTGTCCTTTGGCAGATGTCACATGACCTGCAGAATCTGGTCACATATCCAATAACCCCCTGCTCATGGAAGTTGCTGATTGTTCTGTCTGTTGTCTTCTTTGCTCCTAGATGTCCTCCCACAATTGACTCATGAGCCATCTTCTTCATTTGAATACGGTATTCTGTTGGTACTATGATCTATTTAACTTCCTCAGTAGAACTGTCTTGATAGATCAGGAACA